ATGGTTGCACCTTAAGTGAGGAGGGCTCATCAAGGAGTTGACCAATCATGTGCAGCTTAAACATGGAGACAAAAAGAGTGAGAAAGGGAAAAAAAATTATAAAAATACTCCGATTAGGCTCCCCCGAAACAGAACCAGCTTTGATCGGTCACTTCAAAGAGCCCTAAGAGCTGTTTCATTCACAAAAGCCTCATCACTGATTTCACAGTAACTGCTTTGTCATTGAAGCTGTGAAGTTACAGTATACAGTTGTGCATTTACAACAAATTCTTGTAATATCACAGACGTTATTTCACAGTGAATTGCTGTGAGTATTTTCACTGTATATTATTGTAATTTTTACTCTGAAAGTCATGCAAAATGTATCCAATTATTTACTGTAAATTCACAACATAAATTTTAGCAGTTTGGTCTTCCAGTAAGAACGACAACCAGTGATGTCAGTCTCATTTAGATAAAGTGTTACATAATTTGAAAAGAATGAGACATTTATCTCTAAGACAAACTGCCAGCTTACTGCTACTGTCATTTATTTAGGTGCATTTTTTTTCACAGCTTTCTCCAGGGCCGCCCACAGCCGAGCGGACATCTGCAGAAGAGATCCCCCATGACTCCCATCATGAGGGATTACAGAGCAGTTTTGGAGCAGCCATGTTTTGATTTAAAGCCTCTATCATACACAAACAGAGAGAGAAAGAAAGAAGAGAGAGAGAGAGAGAGAGAGAGAGAGAGAGAGAGAGAGAGAGAGAGAGAGAGAGAGAGAGAGAGAGAGCATGTGCAGGCAGGAGAGCTGCCACACTTGAGCATGAAGAAACTGCTGAAGGAGAGGGAATTATATGAGTCTGCTTCCCTCTCATGAAACCAGGGAGGATAATTACTGCTGTTGGCGTCTGAATGAAATTAATTACCTGTCCTTTAATAACACTGCAATAAGTTTAGTATAAAAAAATAGGATTTTCTATTATATATATATATATATATATATATATATATATATATATATATATATATATATATATATATATATATATATATATATATATTTGATGGGCCACCCACACCAAGACTGCAGCATTAGAGAGAGAAAAAGCAAAGAATAAGAAAGTGAAACTAAGGAAATATGAAATGCTGGTGTTCTGGACATGCACAAGCAGACAGTAAACAATGGCTGTATCAAAGTTTTGTTTTCTGACTTAAACTAAAAAAACTGTTTTCATAAAATTGCTGCAAAAGTTCCAGTCTGTTTGGAGTGACTGACATACTACAGCTTTAAGTGTTGGGTTTCAAATAGCTAGCATGTCATGAAACAGTAAAATATACACTTTTCCTTCAATAAAACCTCCACAAAGTTATTGTCGCACTGCAGACATGAAGACAGCTCCACAGATTGCAGCATACTTCAAAATGTCAACTCCAGAGACAATTCAAGCATTTAAAGTCACAGTTTGCATCAAACAGCATTGTGGCGTGTTTTTAGCTGCCTTGTTATTTTCCATCCAGCTTCTATTTTTCCACTTCTGACAAACATCTTCTGAGGGATGACTGAAGAGCTGACTTGTGATTCAAACAGCACATGATTAATTGTTATTCAGTTTCAGTGTGTGTAACACTGATAGAATTAATGCATACATCCTGCACACATCGGAAGGATAAAGATCACCTTTTAAAAATCTAATTAATGAGCACCTTATGCATCGTATCCCCTTGTAATTACATGTTAGTCTTATTTTTTAATTTGTTACAATCAGAGGCAGGGGAAGAGGGTTACAGCGGACTAAAGGACATTTTGGAGCAGATCCTCGGAGAGCAACAGACCTGATCTGCCTTTTCTCCAGCCTCTTGTCTCCTCTGCAGGCTTTATAATAATAAGTGTTTAATATCGCCGGTGTAGTTGTGGTAGGGAGAGTCCCCGTTATAGTCTCAGGGGTGTCCCTGGTTGGCCCTCTCCACTGTCGCTGCATGCTTGCTTGGTGTGAGGATTGCTGTGAAGACTCTGACACTAGTCAGTGACTCGATGCAGTCTGCTGAGTTCCTTATATAGGAACAAAGCTTAATGAACTGATCTGTGAAGTGCATTGACTCTGGTCATGATTTTGTGCTCTATAAATAAACTGAATTAAATTTAATTGATTTAAGATAAGCATGTTGGTTATTGAAGAAAAAGGCAGCAGTGGCTCAACAGGTTGAGCGGGTTGTCCAGTAATCGGAAGGTTGCAGGTTCGATCCCGGCTCCGGACAGAGAATTCTGCTGTTGTGTCCTTGGGCAAGACAATTCACCCACCTTGCTTGCTGGTGGTGGTCGGAGAGACCGGTGGCGCCTGTGCTCGGCAGCCTCGCCTCTGTCAGTGCGCCCCAGGGCAGCTGTGGCTACATCGCAGCTCATCACCATCAGTGTGTGAATGAGTGTGTGAATGGATGAATGATACACTGTAGTGTAAAGCACTTTGGAGTCCTTACTCTGAGAGGCGCTATACAAGTGCGGGTCATTTATTTATCAAGAAGAAGAAGAAAGTATCATTTCTATAGTGCCTCTCAAGATAAAAATCACGAGGCGCTTCACAAAAACAAAAATTGTAAAAATATAAAAAAGCATTTAGAAAATGTTTAAAAATATATTAAAATGAGCAAATATAGGCAATTGGGATTTAAAAAATGTTAAGAAAGAGAGAGAGTGAATATGTAAGAGGGAAATCAGTGGATCCTGAGGAAGGTGGAATTGGTGGGGAGAGCAGAATAAAGAGAGAGTGGTGAAGAAGGTCATACACGTGCGTGTGTCTGCTCTGTCTTCTTGATCCCCAGTGAGTCGTGGAGGATGGCTGCTTATACTGAGCCAGGATTCTCTGGAGGTTTCTTCCTGTTAAAAGGGAGTTTTCCTCTCCACTGTCGCTTTATGCTTGCTTAGTATGAGGATTGCTGTATAGTCACTGACACTAGTCAGTGACTTGATGCAATTTGCTGGGTTCCTTATATAGGAAACATTATTTCTGATTGGCTTAATGAACTGACCTGAATTGGAATGTTTATTATGTGAAGTGCCTTCAGACGACTCTTGTCGTGATTTGGCGCTATATAAATAAACTTGAATTGAATACAAAAGCCAGCTTGAACAAGTGAGTCTTCAGCTGCTTTTTAAAGGAGACCACTGAGTCCACTGATCTCAGGCTCAGGGGGAGAGAGGTCCAGAGTCTGGGGGCAACAGCAGCAAATGATCTGTCACCTTTGGTCTTTAGCCTGGTGCTGCACAACCAGTAGACTTTGATCACTGGACCTCAGGGACCTGCTGGGGGTGTAGGGACTAAGAAGATCACCAATGTAAGATGGTGCTTGTCCATGTAAGGCCCTATTAACCAGAACCAGGATCTTGAAATGAACCCTGAAGTTGACTGGCAGCCAGTGAAGCTGGAGGAGAAGCGGGGTGATGTGGGTGTGTTTGGAGGACTTGGTCAGAAGCCGAGCACAGGTGTTCTGAACCACCTGTAGACGGTTCAGGGAGGTTCTGCTCAGACACGTGAAAAGAGAGTTACAGTAGTCTAAGCGTGAGGAGATGAAGGTGTGGACAACTGTCTCAAGTTCAGAGCGGGACAGAAGGCCCGCTTATTGCCCATGTAAGGTTGTAGGGGGTGTCCCCTGTTCAGGTTAAAGTAAAATATTTATAGTCAGGTTGTAGTTGTCAGAGTTGTCAGTTGACGAGCGCTGCTTATCGCGGCTGCATGCACTGATGTTTGGAGAGTCCCCAACCCTACCTCCCCACCTAGTGGACACTTATGTTGTGTTATGCCTGCAGTCTGTTGCATTTCTGTCTGAGGTGTTTTTTGCATAGCAAAGCTGCCCTCCCTGAGGAGGGTAACTCTGAAGTGCCTTTTCTTTTCCTCCACCTGACTCAATCCTCATGTAAACCCTCTGATCTGTATTAAGTAGCGCGACTCGGGTTGCGAATGACCACAGTCACCAATTCTTGTCATGTGTCTTTGTATGTATGTCTGATCTCAGAATTGTGTGTACTGAAACTCTAATTTCCCTCTGTGATTAATAAAGAATAAATCGATCTACGTTCCTACCCTCACCTATGGTCACGAGCTTTGGGTTGTGACCAAAAGAACGAGATCGCAGATACAAGTGGCCGGAATCAGTTTTTGCTGCAGAGTGGCTGGGCTCTCCATTGGAGACGGGGTGAGAAGCTCGGTCTTCCAGGAGGGGTTTGTAGTAGATCTGCTGCTCCTCCACATTGAGAGAAGCCAGTTGAGGTGGCTCTGCCATCTGATTAGGATGCCTCCTAGATGCCTCCCTGATCAAGTTTTCTGGGCACGTCCAATCCGGAGAAGACCTAAAGGAAGACCCAGGACACCCTAGAGGGACTATGTCTCTCTTAGGGTCAGGGAACGCCTTGGGATTCTCCCAGAGGAGCTGGCCCACGTGGCTGGAGAGAAGGAAGTCTGGCCCTCTCTGCTTAGGCTGCTGCCATCACGACCCGACCCTGTATAAGCGGACGAAAATGAGTGGCTTTATTCTGTTTTTAGTCACTTTTATATTCATTTTCGATTTTAGTTTGTTAGCAGTCCATGATGTACAGCAGTGTATTAATGAGGATTGTGTGACTCATAAAGGCTAAATTTTAAGAATATTTGGGGCTTTTCTGTGGTGCCTTGTCTCAGGAATGAAGCCGTTGTGCCTAGTGGATTGGGTTTTCATTATGCCATCAGATCACATGAAAACAACCTCTGCAGAGTTTTGATGGTCAATTTAGCAGTTCAGAAGCTTTGACATGTTCTTTGAGACATTTCTAAGCAGGTTTTACAGAGCTGATGTTGTCCTGCTGGGGAAGCTGCAGCTGTCAGACTGCACTTACGCTGTTAGATGTATCTGAAGGATACATCAAAGAACAAGTCTGCATGTAAATGTCTGGTTTTCTCAACATTTCATGTATGACTGAATCTTAAAAAAATTATGTGTTGCAAACACACACACACACACACACACACACACACACTAAAAGCATGCAGTTGCGCAAAATAATCTTTTAATTTTCAAGAAATTCTGATAAAGCAGGTTGTTATGAGCCATTGGATTTTAGGGATTAGCTCCACTAACCAATAACAGTTAAAAAAATCATTTGTCTTTGTACTTGGTGTCTTTCTCCTCACTGTTTGGCAAACCGGTCTGGCCGGGAAACGGGGAAATCTTGAGGAAAAAATAGGGATTATTTTGAACCCGCATTGCCACCAGAACTGGGGTGGCTGCATAGAGCAAGTTAGCTGCCAACACGGTCCAGAAGACATCGTTTGGGATCCGAAATGGAGCAGCAGTGCGCGAGTGGAGGGATCCTCCAATGTGGGCCCACTGGCACTGAAACATAATAGAATAAGATGGAGGTTAGATGGAGGAACAAGATGGAGGTTAGACTTTTCCTCTTCCATTTTAGTCTGGTTCTCTTTTCTTTGCAGACATATGAGAAGACAATTGAAAACATGGTTTTGCAATCATAATCCAGAGGAATGACTGACATGGTTACTTTCACGAATAAAGAAAATAAACCACCGCAGCAGAGGTGTCCAGCATTAACAGGCTGTTACAGTCTGCAGCCGCCATGTGCAGCAAAATAAAACTCCAAAAGTTCCTCTAGTCCCATGTCCAATCTTTCTGTCAGATTAATATGGACTCACTGGTTTTGGTTCTATTGCTGCAATGCAGCGCATTTGACTTCACTGAGCAACAGTTGTATCTTTAAATTAGCATTTTAGGCCAGAAAGACTTACTGTTTGTGTTGCGTTACCTGGATCATGGCTCCTGCAAAGAATGTTGTCCAGTCTGACATCCAGGTGCACCCAGGTTTAAGGAGGCCATAAACAAATGCACCCAGCAGCGGAAGTCCATAAAAGAATATGAGCAGCATCTAGGAAAACAAACGGGACCATTTTATTCTCTTCATCTACAATTACAGCTGCAGTACCTCAGGAGGTAGAGTGGGCTGTCCAGTAATTGGAAGGTTGCAGGTTCAATCCTGGCTCCAACAGAGAATGCTGCTGTTGTGTCCTTGGGCGAGACTTGCCTGCTGGTGGTGGTTGGAGGGACCGGTGGCGCCAGTGTTTGGCAAGCCTCGCCTCTGTCAGTGCGCCCCAGGCAGCTGTGGCTACATCGTAGCTCATCTCCACCAGTGTGTTCACGTGTGTGTGAATGTGTGTGTGAATGTGTGTGTGAATGTGTGAAAGACTGATTGTGTTGTGAAGCACTTTGGGGGGTTGTAGAACCCTGAGAAGGTGCTATGCAAATACAGCCATTTACTATTCATCATGAAGGTATAACAGAGTACACGCGCACGTGTGTAAACAGAAAGTATCCCAGCATATGGCTGTTAAAAGGGCCAGATCATGGAAAATGCACTTTTTAGAGATTTTTACCATGTGATATTGTTATTTCCTCATAAAAACAACCCCCAAACCTGTTTTTGGTTGCATTTATGCTTTTTCCTGTATCAGCTGCAAATTTAGAGTTTTACTTTGAAAATTCTGAAAACATCTGAATGAAAACGACTTGCCTCGTCAGGTATTTCTCCTCTCCCTGAAGCTGATTGTCTCGATTTTGAAACAGGGATATTCTGACAAATTACTTCTGCATTAGGGTCAAAATGCTGCCATAAAAACCATGCCTCCTGTCTAAAACAACACAAATAATGGCCAACACATGATACATACAGGCATTTGTTTGTATCAGGCCCTGTAGTCTGGTGGTTCGAGTATCACACAGGCATGTGCCGGCTCGTCTCCCAGTTACAGGAAATCTTTTTTCTTATTTTTAGCTACACTTGCCCGTATTCTGTTTTCAACCCTGTCTCAACCGCTTAGAATATAAGGACTATGTTTTTTTACTTTCCTTATTTTATTTAGCCAGTGTGAGTCCATGTGAGGAGAGCAGAGCATCAACTAAAATGCTGTTTGGAAATTACCAAATTCAAAGACGTTTAGAGACACAAAATATTTGGCAGAAAATAACAAAACTAAAACCTAAACAAGATGAAATATTCTTCGGCTGGCTGAATAAATTACTGCCAACACTGGGAGTCAAACCCACATCAACACACATGGCTAAAGGTAGCAAATGTGACTACTGGACTTTCAAGGCCAAAGGTGGGCTTGCCTATAAGTGTGTTGTGTTGGAGCGGGGATGGGTGGAGTTTCACTGATTCAAATCATTTCAGTTCCAGGTATAAATTCAGACTGACAAAAATAACTCTTATTTAAGATAAACGACATCTCAATAGTGCCAACGGTAATATTTTATCAAATATTGTGCCTACCTTTGCTCTCAAACATTTAAAATAACATGATCTGGAACCTTTAAGTTACATTTAGAGGTGCAGAACAATTATTGTCCTTGAGTGTGTTTTTTATTACTGACCAACTCTTTAGCAGGCAATTACCTCTCTAGACATGCTGCACTTTGGCTGCTAACACTAAAGCCATAAAAACAAAGGTTAAAGCCCAAATTTCAAACAGACTGATTATTTTTAGTGTCTAATGCAGGGGTGTCACCGAATCCGGCCCGCAAGCGGGTTAAATCCGGCCCACAAGATGGTTGTGTAAACTTTATTTTCATACTTTACAATGTAGAGTGAAAATAAACTTATTTTTGTGAGCAAGTTTTCTCTGTAACGAGTATAAATAAAACAAAGCTGCGCTCAAGGCTCACACAAGAACTTGAATCACATCCTGAAGTTGGCCGCCACTCAGGATGTGACTTCTGATGTTGATGTGCTGGTGAAAGCTGAAAGATGTAAAGTAAAATGAGTCAAATATACTTTAAGTGCTGCATGAAACTGATCTAGCCATGTGATCTGTAAGCTCTTTGAATCACTAAGGAATGTTTATTTATGTATTTATTTATTTATTTATTTTCAAATTTTCAAGTACACTTCGGGTGTCGTACTTGTACTATTTTGGATACACTGTCCTCAGGCTCCAGCCTTGTTTTATATTGATTGTATTAAAACAAAGAAAACAATCTGAAGTTGTTTTTAATTTACCGGTTCGGCCCACTTGGGACTAGATTTCCCTCAATGTGGCCCCTGAGCTAAAATGAGTTTGACACCCCTGGTCTAATAGAACATTTGCTCTGTCAGAGTAGAACATTTGCACAAAAGGTACTTTAATCTTTTTAGATGGCAACAAATCTAATCTAATCCTTAAAGTGCTTGGGTTTAACTTCAGTCAAGCCAAGCAGAAAATGCATAAAACCGAAAAACCCTGAATGCAATCATGCAGTTGTTCTCCCTGCTTTTCAGTTTTACATTATTCTGCAGGCCCAGTGCTAATGTATCAACACAAGCTTCAACAGAAACTTGCATGACCTTCAGCTGAAAGCATTTGGAGTGTGAAAACCAGTTTCCAACTTCATAAAATTCTCAAATTAAACCAGTGAATGATTTATTTTCACAGTCTGCATGAATTCTAATGTGTTAAGCCTAAAAGCCAATCATGTACGCCCTTCAGTCTTTTGATGAAATGTCTTTGTTACTGCTGCAATGCTAATTTAGCATATCATCCATCGTTATCAGTGAAGAAGAAGAAGAAGAAGAAGAAGGTGAACATTAAGTAACAAGCCAGGTCTCATCATATATTAGCCTTAGCCAAATGTGCACAAACACACACATCTGCAAACTCCAATGACCGTAATTTTACATGATGCACACACACACACACCCTCCTCCCACCCAGACAGATGCTGATGGGAAGCTTTGGGCGAGGGATTAGCTTATCAAGTTCCCGCTGTGTGCTTTGTCTATCTGATCAATGATTTCAATTGTTCCTGGACTGCAACCTCGGCAATGTCTTTGGATAACCTATTGACAAAGCCTCGCACACCAAACAAAACACACCGAAACGCAAAGTAGTGACAGGGTCAGAGGGGAATGAAAACAACAGAAAGCAGACCCACTCTCGAAGTGCAATCTGTTATCCATCTCAGGTGAATGATGGAGGGAGACAAAGATGTACTGGTCTTTTTGACCCACTTTCGTTTCTGCTGTAATGATGAAAAATGGCTTCAGGTTCACAGAGTAGATGTGACGCGGGCAAAGTTCTAGCAAGTTCAAAGTGATGTCTATGGAAGCAGAGGGCTATTATTATCTGGGATGTTATCTAAAACAGGATGAGGAACAGCTCACAGGTGCTGCAGCAGCTCTTCAGGATGAATGTGGAGACAGAGAGAGACAAAGACCCACCATAACTTTAGGGTAGCCCACGGGATCCTTCAGGTAGGGCTCATACTGGTTCAGATACACAGCACAGGCTTCGAGTGGGGAGTCCAGCGCCACCTTCAGAGAGCAGTTTGTTATTACAATAAGATGAATGAATTAATTAATGTTAAGCTTTGATCAAAATGTCATTTACATTTTTAGATTAAAAAAAAAGTGCAACATATTTAAAGAGAGAACCCCTCCCCCCAGCGTCCAAGTAAATAAAGGGGAAACAAAAATCAACAATAGCCACAAAGTAACATGTAACTCTTCTACAAGAATCTACTTTGAAATCTATCATTGCAGCCTGGCATTGATCTCTAATCACAACAAGCTGCGTGTCTGATCCACTAACCAGGCCTCTGAGGACGGTGAAGGACATGGCAGCCAACAGGAGCACCACCAAGATCAGATCTAAGGGACGCCAGATTAGCTTCATGCTCTGGATGTGTTGAGCCTGTGTGTAGGTGTCACCATGAAGCACAGAACAGACACGGTCAGTCATAATTCTTTTTATTTATCATACGTTTATACGTTTATCAACTTAAAACAATGATTAAAACAGGCTGCTCCAATTTGTTTGGTTTTTGTTTTTCATTCCTTGGAGGAAATCTGCCTTTTTCCACAAAGATATCTAGTGAACAATTTCACTTCCTATGTATGTGACAGGATGTATGTGAGTGAATGTTTCAAAACGTCAACTTTAAATCAGTTCTATTTCAACTTAGGCGTGTCTGCAGTTTATGTTCTCAGCTAAGTCCCAGTGTGCAGTCATCCTTAGGGAACATTTTAAAGCAACTAAAACATTTTTATGATGCTTTTCCAAACCCCATTCCATGTTGCTCCAGTTTTTATATTTGTATTTTTACGTTTCTTTGTAATTCAAAGCTCCACCTCGCTGGTGGCGCCAGTGTTCAGCAGGCCTTGCCTCTGTCAGCTACCATGTGGTAGCTCATCACCACCAGCGTGTGAACGGGTGAATGACTGATTGTGTTGTGAAGTGCCTTGGGGGGGGGGGGGGGGGGGGTTAGAACCCTAAGAAGGCTCTATACAAATACAGACCATTTACCATTTGCAAATATTGCAGACTAGGTCAGTTAGATCACTTAAAAGGGTTTTAAAGGTAGGCCAAATGCGGCAAAGATCTGCAAGTTTTACCCTCTGGTGGTTTTCCATGTTTCTGAATAAATCTGCATCAGGATAAACACTTAAATGAAAAGGTTTGTCGGGTTTATCGGGTGATTTATTATGGAAAATTTAAATAGAGTGTACAGTTTATCAAGCATCTGTGCACAAATGTACTTAAAATTCAGGTTATAGAGATTAGTGATTTTCTATAAGTCATAAATTGCAGCTTTAAAAATAACAACGAGTCAAGCGATGACACACAGAAAATTAGGACACTGTAAGATGAAAAGTGAGTTTTGGACCTTTACTTATTTGTGGTGACTCATCATAGTTCCGCTTGCTACTGAAATGTGTTGTCATTATTATCAGGCGAACGCGTTTAGCCTCCATAAATCATAATCATCACAATCACTTGCTCAGGGACTGGACCGTAGAGTTTAATGTACTGATTAAGTACACCCAGCAAACACTGCAGCTATAAAACTCCTACTTCAAATCAAGGTTTAATCATTAGTGCACCGGACTCACATTGTACCCGCCGATTAGTGGTCTGTCCTTGGGCCGAGTGAACAGCGTAACAGCTCCCAACACGGGCATCAACAGAAAGAGAAAATTGAGCCAGAAAGCTGGGCGGATCTCTGTTCCGTATTTACCTGCCACAGACAAACCGTTATCTACTCAGCCATGCAAAGGATTACAGTAAACATGCCGGTTAAACCTCCTAATAAAAACCTCTAGGACACACACACGCACACAGCTTGGGTGAACACACTCACACACAAGTTTGATCTTATGACACTCATGTATGCAGTCTGAAATGTCAACAACAGATGCTCCGAGTGTGTTTGGTGCATTGTTCTGTGGGTTGTGTTGGCAGGCTGAACCGTGACACTGATGGGACACGGCAGGGGCAGATGTTCGCTTGATTAAAGTTTGTCATCATGGAGCTGCTGGAAGAGGGATTGAAGATTAATGGACTCACCTGCCGCTATTCCAGTAATAAACACACTCATGTTGGCGCACAAAGAGCCGGCCCAGAACAGACCCAGGGTACGGTAGGCTCTCCTGCGGGGGAAACACAAACATTACAGGGCTGTGCATCATCACTAACTCATTCAGCACTTTCTAAAGCGAAGAGCTGATGTTTTTATGCTAAACTTTAGATCAAACACAGAAAAAGTGGGCCTGAAGCTCATCATGCATGTTGCGTATGAATTCCATTTACTTTTCATGTCATTCTTGTGTCTACAACATCCATACTCTCCTACAGAGTTGTTTGCTCCTCTTGAAATGTGTAACATGCTATTTGAATGAGGTATTATGGGATGTAAAGTGTGTACAGAGTACTCTGCAGATACCCACCTGTCTGTTATCCTGCTGATCATCATCAGGTACATGATAAAATGTGCTATTCCATCCCAGTAACACATCATGATGCCATAAGAGGTCCCCAAGTAGGGTTCACCCTAAACACAATACATTCAGATAAGTTTGGAACAGGGCTGCATATTGGTACAGTTGGCAGCACTGCCCTGCAGCAAAAAGGTTGTGGGTTCAACTCCCAGCTGCAGCCCTCCAGCATAGAGTGAGCATGTTTTACTCATACATGCGTGGGTTTTCACAGGGTGCTCCAGCTTCCTCCCAAAGGCTAAAAACATGCACGTTAGGTTGACTGGTGAGTGAGTGCGTGTAATAGTAGTGATGATTGGATTGTTTGTAGCAGCATAACTAAATTACAAACAGGGTTTTTTTAAACATGAATTCATTCTGCCTAAATTCATACAGAAAATGTGAAAATACTAAACTTACAGTCTTCTGGTAGAATTCCATGAAACCGGAAACAATGCCGTCATGTTCCAGTGCACTGATCAGGTCGATGACACAGGTGAAAGAAAATTCTGCAAAGACTGCAAAAAGAACAAAAAGTACTTTAATGCCTGGTATTAATTTTTTTTATGTCAAAAGTGTCTCTTTGTGTCTCTTTCAAATATTTTAATTAATGTACGTCAGTAATTGAACTCAAAAGGTGAAACTAAAATGGACTACTTACATGCAAAGCCAGATGTTTCTAGCCTTTATTTATTATAATAGTGATGATTATGGCTTACGCCTGATGAAAACCCCACATTCAAAATCTCAGACAGTTAGATTATTGTGAAACGGTTCGATATTCTAGACTCACAGTGTTACACTCGAATCAGCTAATGAAGCCAGAACACCTGCAAAGGTTCCTGAGCCTTTAGATGGTGTCTCAGTCTAAGTTGAATGACTTAGCACCACCTCACCCCTGCCACGTGGACCTCAAGGGATAAACCATCAACCCTGCTCAATGGTCAACTTTCCTCACAGGGTCACCCATGAAGACGGTGGGGGGGTTAAATAGATAAATAAAACAATACTATCTGAACTGACACAATTTGACACTGTACTATGTGATATGATAGATTTTCCCCTTCAGTAAATTGGTTTTGCACTCTGTTTTGCTTTTTTGTTTTTCAAAAGAAATTTTATGATTCACACAACGTTGAACTGAAAATAACACGTTTGCTTTTCCTAACTTGTCAAGAAATGTTCTCGGCTGTTACTGAGTGTGAAAGGTTTTCTTTCCGTTGGTTAGCTACTGGTTAACGGAACACAGTGGTGAGCAAATGAAGTCTGAGCAGAGAGATAAGGTGAAGACATGTTTAATTCACAGTGAGGAGCCTGCCTTCAGGTTTAAAGCCCTGCAGAGCTAAAGGCCACATCCAGCTGGTACAGTTTGAGCATGGAGCCATGCAAAAACATGTTAACTCTCAAATGTAGTCTAGTGGTGGTTGTGGCTTGGGATTCAAGTCCGGTCGGGTCATACCAAAGACCTTAAAAATAGGACCCAATGCCATTGCTGCAGCTCACTGCTCCCCACAGGGATGGGTCAAATGCAAAAATATCATTTCTAATGACTAATGGGACTTTTAAATCAGGAAGGTCATTATTGTAAATGCCATTTGACATCAGTCTATTTATTTGGATCATGTTAATTGCGATCCTTTGTAACAAGCACGTGTTGTGAACCATTAAAAGCACATGCAGACTGGATGTTTGAAATATAGGTTAGAGATAAAATTCAAGTTATAGAAAACAAACAGCAAGATCCGAAGAACTGAAAAGTGAATGTGCACTTGTGTTGCACTGAATCATTTCATGCTTTCCTCTGAGTTGGTCAAATTGGGTATTTGTGTATAAAACATAATCAATAACTATAAAACATACGTAGAGTCCCAGTGAGCTCAGGTGGTAGAGCGGGTTGCCTCATGATCGGAGGGTCATGGGTTCGATTCCAGCTCCCGCCAGGGGTATCCTGCTGTTGTGTCCTTGGGCAAGACACTTCACCCAACTTGCCTGTGTTAGTGGTGGTCAGAGGGGCCGACGGCGCCAAATGGCAGCCTCGCCTCTGTCAGACCTCCCCAGGGCGGCTGTGGCTACAAGTAGCTTACCATCACTAGCAGTGTGTGACTGTGAGAGTGTGTGAAAGCGTCTTTGGGTGTCTAGAAAAGCGCTATATAAGTTCAATGCATTATTATTAGTAGTCTTCATCTCTTTCAGCATGGGCCCCAGCAAATCGTGCTTTTTGTGCATGGGCTTCAGGAGAGGCTTCCTTCGTGGACGATACCCATGCATGCCGTTCCTCTGCAGTTTTCTCCACATGGTGTCACGGGAAACGGTCCCTCCGCTTTGGTTTTCTACTGCTTTAGCTAACTGCAGTGAACTTGCATGGTAATTTTCTTCAACCCTTCATCAGAAGGCACTCCCGTCGAGAGGTTAACCACCGTGCAGAGAGCAGGACGTCTCTAAAGTTTTTGGATCACTTTTATTTTGACCGGTATGCAAATCTTTGCTCATCTTCTTGCGGCCCTCACCTCTTTTGTGTGAAGAAATGATTTCCTTTCTCAGATTTTGTGAGGTTTCTTTTCCATGAGGAGTCATTGCTGACACCATGAAATGGGAAGGGCTTCATTAGTCATCAGTTACTGGCAATGTTGGTGTGTAGACACAACAGTGTAACTTATCCTTCTGTTGGCATATTTGCATATTCTACTCATGACATACTGCATTTATTCTCTGTTGTCTTCTCCTTCCTCAAAATCACCAAATTCTTTTTTGAATATCCAACAGGAGGACTGAAGAGAGCAGATAAAAAACTTTTTTTTTTTACTTTTCTTGCTTCTTGTTCATAGCATTACCTTAAAGAGCAAGTCACCCCCTACAAGAAACTTACTTCACTCCCTTTTCATATTTGAAAAATGCAACAAATGCTGTTGCCTTGCAGACCGAGAGGGCGGAGCCGCAAACAAATACGCACACACACACACACACACAGGCTGGCTCACAACGACATTGTGACATCATAAGGACCATTTTCCATCATAGCATACCTCTTAGCCAATAGCAGTGGCAAATTTAAATTCAAATGCAGTGCAGAGTTTTTACCCGACGACGGCACAACACTGACAGTTTTAGGCAGAAAATTTAAATTTTAACTAAAATGCACTTAAAGAGCAAGTCACCCCCAAATCAACTATTTTTTTCTGGTAAACTATATAAATGCGTGTCTAATCGTGCTGCGGACACGTGCAGTCAATAGTTTTGCACTTTAGTGCATTTTAGTTAAAATTAAAATTTCTTCCTGAAACTGTCAGTGTTGTGCCGTTGTCAGGTAAAAACTCTTCACTGCATTGGAGTTTAAATCTGCCACCGCTATTGGCTAAGAGGTATGCTATGATGTAAACTGGTACATTATGATGTCACAATGTCGTGAGTGTGTGAATTTGTTAGCGGCTCCACCCTCTCGGTCTGCTAGGCAACAGCATTTGTTGCATTTTTCAAACATGAAGTGGGAGTGAAGTACGCTTCTTGTAAGGGGTGACTTGCTCTTTAAGTGCAAAACTATTGACGACACGTGTCTGCAGCACAATTAGACACATATTTATATAGTTTATCAGCAAAACAAAGTTGATTTGGGGGTGACTTGCTCTTTAAGCCCCACCCACAATCATCCTATTGACGTCCAACGAAAATGACCTCAAGCATCAACTGCAGCAGGGATTTGTTAGACTAAAACTAGAGAGCAGTGTGAGCTGATGCTTTTAACTAGCCACAAACAAATGAAGCACAAAGTAACGGATTAGGCACGGGGCAAGACTTACTGCTGTCACGAGAATATTTTCTAATATTTGTGCACGAGGCCAGTCTGGAAGAAAGTCTTAAAACTAAAGCTAGAATGTTAAGTAAGAGTGAGTGCTGTGAAGTTTGCATAGGGATTGGTTCAGTCATGCCACTGAAAAGTCTGATTAAGCTGATCGGTTTAAGCAGCTTTCAGCATTTCGGACAAACTCTGAACACAATTGGTGTTTTTCTCTCTGACATAGCGAGCAGAGGGGGAAGATTCTGGAAATCCTTTTGTGTGAGTTCAAATCAGCTTCAGATGAATGTATATAACTCGTGTATTTGGGAAAAGTGTGTGTTGCGAGTTCAAAATTATACATTATTACCGAAGAACAAGATGTCTTTAGGGGGGTTTCCACGAGTGATGATGAAGTAGAACAAAAACACAACTACCAGCACAGCCACACCGATCTCTAGGATCACGTAGGGCCTGTGGAAACAAAACAGGGAAGAAACACATTGTTGGTGAGTTTTTCTATGGAAACTCACAGTTCAGCCGTACATTCAATATGAGAAGTTTAATGAGAAATTAAAATCAATAGCACAATATAATAGTATAACAAAGAAACATTTGCAGGTTTACAAGCAAACACTCAACTTACACAATGCTAAGAATGGGTGCAGGCAGAAGCCCCCCCCAAACCCTTTGAACTTAAACAAAATTTTAGAATGGCACACCGATTCCATAATTTTTACATCATGTTTGAAATGTATGGGAATATATTCAAATCCCCATTCTAGCTTTATAAAAACAAAATAATGACCTTAAAAGTTTTATGCATTTTTTTCATTGACTTGATTCATAATATTTAATCACATTTGATTTAAACATACCCTTAAACTTTACCATTGTTGAACAATCTTTTTGCTCCTGGTCTAATTTATTCCACACATCAACCCCAACACAAGAAATACAAAGTTGTTTCATTTTAGTTCTTACTTTAGGCTTTCTAAACATTTTATACCCTCTGAGATCATAAACACTCTCTCTGATCTGGAACAGATCCTGAATTTGTTTTGGCATCAAATTATACATCACTTTATACATAAATTGTGCAGTTCTTAATGTAACTAATTATCTTAACTTTAATGCTTTTAAACGAGTAAAAAGTAAATGTGTATGCTACAAGCTGCTTTGTATTATTCACATCTTAAAATCACTTCATTCATTTAAAAAAAAAGTTTGCTTACAGTTACATGAAATCTTCTTTTCTTTGTGCTAAACTGCTAAACAATGACAAATAGACACCAACGATCATGCAACACCCACAGGAACAAAGAGAAATAAGATGGAAGTGTGAGGAGAAACCGTCTTCATGCTTAAAGTGTGTGCGCAGGCAGGCTTCATATGGTGATGGATCAAACTGGCCAATTTTTTTAAATTTTTGCTGTTTTTGTTGCTTCAAATTATCTTTTCAAAAAGAAAATGCTCATTTGAAATCGGTGCAAAATATGGAATAAACCTATTTTGTGAGCTTGGTGTGACTGTATTTCCACTCGTGGCTTCAAAAAGCAGCTCTGAAGAGCTTTCATCAATCACTGGCAGGACGTGTGGGAAGCAGCAAGGTAAGGTGATGTTAGTTCAGCAGAACCCTCCATGTTTACCGGTCAAAGGTGCCACCGACTAGCAGCAGAAAAGATTAATGTAGCCAAGATATCGTCCAGCAAACAACATTACAACCGCTGAAAACTCAGTGTCTGCTCACAGAGGGAAAGCAAAGGCTGTGAGAGCCAAGGCAGCCTCTCTCGCTGCCTCAACAGCACGCTGGGGAAGATTTATGCACACAGTACTGTTTGTTTGCAGAGTGAAAGAGCATGAGGCATTCTGAATGTCAAGAGCAATTCATCAAATGTCTCTGTGCCGTCTGGGCCGATTGTCAGTTTCCACACAATCCATAAAAACTGCTGAAATGGTCACTTGAAAGTGGTTTCAGCATTCTCTTACAGGGAAAGTCGTAAAATTAGAATATGGTGCAAAAGTACTTTTATTTCAGTAAAAGCAAAGGGTCCCAAATCAAGTACTGAGAATGCATGATTATCGTTTTTCAGAAGTTTGGCATTTCTCTATTTAAAATCCTTGTTTTATTGATTTTATGTAATTTTCTAATAATCTGAGATTTTTAATTTGGGGTTTTTATGAGCTGTAAGCCATAATTATCACAATTATGACAAATAAAGGTTTTAAATGTGTGACTTTGCATGTAATGAGTCCATCTCATATATTAGTTTCACCTTTTTAGTAGAATTACTGACATAAATATACTTTAGCACGATATTCTACATTTTCGAATTTCAGCATTTCACACTTAGTGTTTTTTTAAGATCCTATGTAAGGTAGGAAGCCTTTCTATTCAGCTGTAAGCATGTGCATTACAGCTATGAGCAGGAGACAAACCTGAGAAATAAGAAAAACATCTTGCAACTTTAAATTCAGAATAAATCCACAAATATTTTGTTTCAGTCGCCCCAATTTTTACTCCTATTTGAATTCAAGTCATATGAAATGTCATGTTTACTATATGTGAGCTTATCGCTTATAGAAGAGGGGGAAAACGTTCTGATTAAGTTGTTTAAATATTTGTATTTTTTGAAGCTGAAACAAACACACACAGACAGTGCCCTCTGGTGGCGAAAATGAAAAAGGCGCCCTAATATTTGACTTGTGTACATCTTAATTCTAGATTTTTAAAGGTTTTCATGACTATAATGATATGCATTTTAGTGTCTAAATATTCTAACTGGATTAACGTTTTAAGAGATTCCTCCCATAGACAGTAACCTTGTCAATCTCTTTGAAAAAAAAAATAAAAGATTAGTAAAAGTTACAACTTACTCTTGAAGCTCAGGAATGGTGTTCATGGCGTAAAGAACGCCAAGAGCAGAAAATGAAAATAAAAAGACCAAAATTTCCATCTTTTCAAAAAGCTGTTCTGCCCCCCTCTCCCAGCAGCAACGCTGAAAAGAAAACACAATTACAATCCTATCAACATTCAATCAGAGCCACACCTGATCAATACTAAAACAATATCCCAGCAATCAGGCCTTTTTATAGAAACTTAAATTTAGTATGAAATTTGATTGGCATGAAACAGATTCTAAAATGAAAACTGCAGTTTAAGGAAGACGTGAAGCAGAGCAGAGTCTTACCGCGTGCCTACCTCTGGGTGGATTAATCAAATTACAGCGTGCCTGAGGCAAACACGGACTTTACTGGGGGAATAATCAAGTGGCAACAAAGAAGCTTTGCTGGAGAATGTTGTGCAATTAGGTTTTTGTCAGAGATTTAGTTTTAAGACGATTTAAAGTTATGTGAAATCCTAAACAGTGGCGCAATTACTTGTTTCACAAAGACGCACGTGCGTGGAGAGCAGCCTGTGATGGTGTTCCAGACACTGCAAATGTCATGTTGTGTGCTGAAGTTTTAAGTAGCTAAAATTTGAATAGAAATTAACAGAAATATGTAAGATCGTTTTTAATTTTGGGTAAAATAAACATTAATTTAGTTTCACGAGGAGCAATGTGGTTTTCGTCCTGGCCGTGGAACACTGGACCAGCTCTTAGGGCAGGGGTGTCAAACTCATTTTAGCTCAGGGGCCACACTGAGGGAAATCTAGTCCCAAGTGGGCCGGACCGGTAAATTAAAAACAACTTCAGATTGTTTTCTTTGTTTTAATACAATCAATATAAAACAAAGCTTGAGCCTGAGGACAGTGTAGTACAAGTACAACACCTGGAGTGTACTTGAAAATTTGGAACAAAATTAAAAATCAATAAATAAAAAACACATTCCTTAGTGATTCAAAGAGCTTACAGATCACATGGCTAGATCAGTTTCATGCAGCACTTAGAGTATATTTGACTCATTTTACTTTACATCTTTCAGCTTTCACCAGCACATCAATATCAGAAGTCACATCCTGAGTGGCGGCCAACTTCAGGATGTGAGTCAAGTTCCTGTGTGAGCCTTGAGCGCAGCTTTGTTTTATTTATACTCATTACAGAGAAAACTTGCTCACAATGATACGTTTATTTTCACTCTACATTGTAAAGTATGAAAATAAAGTTTACACAACCATCTCGCGGGCCGGATTTAACCAGGGCCGTATGTTTGACACCCCTGCCTTAGGGGGTCCTGGAGGGTGCGTGGGAGTTCGCCCAACCAATCTAAATGTGTTTTGTGGATTTGGAGAAGGCACTTGACCGCGTCCCTCAGGAGGCCTGTGGGGGGTATTTCAGGAGTATGGGGTACCAGGCCCTCTGATACGGGCTGTTAGGTCCATGTATGACCGGTGTCAGAGCTTGGTCCGCTTTGCCGGCAGTAAGTCGGGCTCGTTCCCAGTGAGAGTTGGACTCCACCAAGGCTGCCCTTTGTCACCGATTCTGTTCATAACCTTTATGGACAGGATTTCTAGGTGCAGCCAAGGTGTTGAAGGGATCCGTTTTGGTGGCCTGAGGACTGAGTCTCTGCTTTTTGCAGATGATGTGGTCCTGTTGACTTCATCAGAACGTGATCTCCAGCTCTCATTGGAGCAGTTCACAGCCGAGTGTGAAGCAGCTGGGATGAAAATCAGTTCCTCTAAATCTGAGACCGTGGTCTTGAGTCGGAAAAGGCTAGAATGCCTTCTCCAGGTCAGGGACTAGGTCCTGTCTCAAGTGGAGGAGTTTAAGTATCTTGGGTTCTTGTTCACGAGTGAGGAGAAAAATGGAGCGTGAGATCGACAGGCGGATTGGTGCTGCGTCTGGAGTGATGTGGGCATTGTATCGATCTGTTGTGGTGAAGAGAGAGCTGAGCCAGAAGGCAAAGCTCTTGATTTACTCGTTCATCTTCCAACCCTCACCTACGGTCACGAGCTTTGGGTAGTGACCGAAAGAACGAGATTGCGAGCACAAGCGGCCGAAATGAGTTTTCTCTGCAGGGTGGTTGGGCTCTCCCTTAGAGACAGGGTGACAAGCTCAGTCATCCGGGAGGGGCTCAGAGTAGATTTGCTGCTCCTCCACATCGAGAGGAGCCAGTTGAGGTGGCTCAGGCATCTGGTCAGGATACCTCCTGGACTCCTCCCTGGGGAGGTTTTCCGGGTCATGTCCAACCAGGAGAAGCCCTAAAGAAAGACCCAGGACACGCTGAAGAGACTATGTCTCACGGCTGGCCAGGGAACAACTTGGGATTCCCCTGGAGGAGCTGGTCCAAGTGGCTGGGAAGAGGGAAGTCTGGGCCTCCCTGCTTAGGCTGCTGCCCCCGCGACCCGACCCCAGGTAAGCGGCTGAAAATGGATGGATAGATGGATGGATGAAGCATTAGTTTTGTTACTTAGAAATCGTGTGGGCTGAAAAGTTCACTTGTTTATTTGTGGAAGCTTCATCACAGCAAATATCAGCAGATATTTGATGCTGCTAGTGATGTGAACGTTCACAGAAACTTACTTGTACATTAGGAATAAAGTGACTGACAGACAAACATGTGAAAAGAGACAAAGAGTGAAAACAGCAGCATATTTAAATGCTTTTGCTTATTTGTTTGGCTTAAAAAATCCAGCTCATATCAATCTTGCCAACTCAATCCAGCAGGGGGCGCTACATACTAAACAATATGTTGCACTTCAAATGCAGTTTTCACACAAAAATACATTTTATCTACATTCTGTTAATATAATATTGCATTTTTCCTACCTTACATTTGCTGTAGAGTGTTCCTCAAGAGCATTAATCTTCTGCAAGCAAGCTAAATGTCCACATTAAATCATGCATTAGCATTAAAAGATGTGTACTACATGAGTAAAGCACATACCGGTATTAGTTTAGTCTAATGTAAAATGGCAAATTAATTTAAACATCAGAATGACTTTTGTTCATTTAATATTGCCTCTAATTCTATGAAGCTGCAAGGGGAACAATAAAAAGAGATGTGAATCAATATGATCTAAATTGTCTGGATGCAATGGTGCTTTTTTTTGTTTAGTGTTGTTGTTGTTTTAATTTTGAGATGTTGGTTTTACTTCATTTCTCTTTTCTTGTAAAGAGCGAACAGGGTGGGTAAACGATTGCATGAGTTTTGTAACACATGCAGGATTTGTTTTACAATGCCTAGTACCTGCACTACTGCAGTTTTGTATTCCATCAGCCATCACCTCGCTGACAGCTGACATCTGATAATTGCGCAAATCTAAAAAGCAAAGACAAAGAACATCCCTGTCGGTGTCTCGCAGCAACAGAGACACCACCCTCTGCTTTCCATCACTCTCCTTTTGTTGGGAAAAGGAAAGATTGTTATACCAGGAAAGCAGCGGCTGCGTGTGCTTACGGGAAAACCTTTGGAACTCTTCCAGTTTTGTCGTTCAATACCACAAAATGGACAGACGAATGCCAAAATCAAACTATGGACCCACAGGAGGGAAAAAAGTGTATTTGATCAGATTAAAGATTGAAATAAAACGTGCTTGTAAATAGAACAACTTCTGCAAGGGGCGTTGACTATTTGATGAATAATATTTTTGAGACATTATTGAATAAATAAAACACAAGAAGAGAATGTGCTTTTGTATCCTGAGAATAGCTTAAATTCACCATAAAGAAAAGCAGCTGTGAACGTTAAAGCTGCCTGTTTGGGAATAAGTGGGAATCAAACTTAGAACAAAGACTTTTTTAGCCATAATTATTTTTGCTTCGACAAATGATGGTCTAGATTCTAGGCTAAGGCTTTGTGTGTGTGTGTGTGTGTGTGTGTGTGTGTGTGTGTGTGTGTGTGTGTGTGTGTGTGTGTGTGTGTACTTCTTAAATGTAGACTATTTCATGTGAACACAAAGGTAATCAATTTCAAGCATTGTTTATGAAGAAAGTTGCTGTTCATTAATTTTGAAAATGTCATTTATTTCTCCTAAAGTAAATAATAAAACAAACAGTTATTCTAAAGGTGTGGTTGACTGAAAAAACATATTTCAATTATTATTTCTGATTATAACAGTCACTCTGAGTTTTTCATGCTGGGTAAACATGAAAATAGTCTCCTACACCTATCTTCTGCATTTGCTTCTGATAGAAAACTCTAGGACTTGAAAATCCTCACACTGTGATCCATTCATGCCTTTCCCATGTTGGCTTGTGCCTGCCCACGGTAAGGCTTCTTTTATGTTTGCAACAAGGAGAGAGAGTGGAGAGTGTGTAAGTGAGTGACTTTGCAACATAGCTGAATGCAATCTGTTAGCCAATCAAAAGCAATGCGTGTGCATATCATTAATAATAATGAGCAATCCTGCTGTTGTCAACCCATCTCCGCACCAGCAAACTTCTGCATCTCAGAACAGGAGCATCACAGCTTTTTAAAAATGACTCAAAAGCCAGTGATGTACACCAGAGAACACTGGAAATGTATTGAATAAACAAGTAAACCACACCTTTAAAGCCTATGCTCTGTGACTAGCAACACATATTACAGTTTATCAGTTTCTTTCTAACCTTTGTAAAGGCCTAAAAAAACTTTCATATTATCGATATAGATTTGTAGCATAATTTTAATTATAGAAGAACAATTAGACACTTTATAGATGAGATGCTTTAGAAAATTAAAATCCAAAATTGAACAATTATTTGACTGGAATCCATGCTTCAGTTTAGAAATCCACCCTTTTTTTAAATGAAGGTATAGCCTTGACTTGACCGAGCTTATTACCATATTATTACTTAATGTGTTAGTACATACTATTACTGCCATTAAGCACTTGTGTGAAAATAATTTTCTTTCGTGCATATTGGTGTGTTCGACCCATGGTTCGACCAGGTGTGCAGACACTGCTGCTGCTGAACTATTTGTGGCCTGTCTGTTCTCGGCTCTAGATCAACAAGCAGCACCGAGCGTGACGACAGCGGCGGAAATATTTTTCCCTATTCAAAATGGCACCGTCTCAATCAGGAAGTAGAGAAAACAACTACGAAGAATAAGTTGGATAAATATCCCCATTCGCGTGACTTTGGCGCGGGCAGACGCTCAGAATCGCTCGGTGTGTGTGCGGGTTGGACTGAGGGTAAATAACACATTCACGGTAAGTGTTCGTCGAGGATATCTTCCAAAGGCGAGCGACACATCGGCTTTATAACAAGATGCATTCTAGGCAGCCTCTCCTAGGAGCGCACGTTTTTAACGACGGTCGGCGCCGGGGTTTAAAAAAACGTGTCAAGTTCAGTGTTAGTACACAGTTATAATAGTTCCTAGGTTGATTGTTAATATTTGTTGGCTATTAAAATAGACAGCAAGTTTTAGATATTTCACTTTTAGCATCTAGTAAGGTCATTAATTATATACAGCTTAGTTAGGTTTTCATAACCAGTGATATCTGCGTCTATTGTGGGTCTTTATAAACTTGTTAACTTTTAGGTTTAAAATAATCAAGTGGGTGCTTTTAAATAAAAATTGTACACAAAATTACAACTTTTGAAGTGTTTGAAGGAACGTTTATCCCATCGTTGTTGTAGCAGTGGTCTCAAGCAGTGTACAAAACAAGCATACCCAAAGTCGCCAAAGGGCTATTAAAGATGCTAACACAGCTAGCCTCATTATCTATATAAAGTATGCCGTTTATTAATCGAATATTACGAACATGTGTTTTGTTTCGGCTTGTGTGGTTGTTAAAGAAATAACAAAATGTTTACACGATGTACGTTTTAAAGTCCTGCTTTGGGTTCTCGCCTCTATTGTCGTTCGTGAAGCTAACAGCATTAGCATTAACACTCCAGCTTTAGCTGCTGTTCTTTGTGCTTTGTACTCACCAGAGTAGCTTTCTACCTTTATTGGAGTCCACATATCGCTTTGGGTCAATACTAGCAGTGTGGAAACTTCACTTGAGTCTTTAGGACATCATATGTGGACTTAAGCATGTACATTTGCAACATTTAGATTTATTAGGGGTTCGTTTCAGAAACATTTCTATGGACGTGTTCGGCTTAAAAGTCTTCTCACAAGGCTGAGGGAGAAGTCCGTGCCTCTTTTCTGTGGAAAAGTTGGGAACAGCTAACTTCACTCAACAGTGAAACATTACCTAACTTTATGTGTTGTGTCTAATCCAGCCATCACGAGTTTTTCTGGCTTTATATGGACATTTAAAGCTAAGACTTACGTGTTGCCTTTAGGGTTTACACTCTTATACAACCCTTAATTTATGTTGATGAACAAAAGGAGAAAAGTCAAGGTGTTAGAAATGTTTTTTCCAAATATATTATTTTTATTTGCGTGGTTTCAGTCATTTGAGGTAAAAAAAAATGTCAATGCCATGTCCAAACATATGGCTTCAGTAGAGAAACGTGGCTGCTTAGAGAAGGTGAAGGTGGTAGGTCTCAGAGCTGGCCCCTCCAGTTCCTTTGATTTCCTGCAGTTTTCACCTTTTGGTTTCTCCTGTCTGTCGCCTGCAGCAAAGGCTAGTCGAGCCTCATGCAAGCCTAAACACAGCAGGCTGCCATGGTGGTTGGCTATTTTTCTAATTATGTCAGTCCCACTTGCTGTGAAATGAATAACATGCCAGGTTCCTCTTTCAGTTTTAGTCAAGTACCCATACCCGCCCTTGGTCTGCCTTTAGGGTAATTTTATTTTCAGATCCCTCCTGCAGCCACATCAGGATCGTGTTCTGTCACCAAACAGGCTGCTTGTTGTTTCTACTAGTGTTGTATTTTATTTACAATGCCTTTATAATAACATGCTTTATTTGTTTGGGAAACAGATAAGTAAATATTTCAAACAAGATGTTCATAGAAATGACAAGATGAGAAGGATCTGGTGTCACACCAACACTTACATGTGTGTTTTTTCTCCAGCGACTCTCATTAAATTCAGCTCGGGAGGTTTTGCGTAATCTACCTGACAGGCAGACAAATAGCTATGAAAGCATATCTCTGTCTTGGGTCTCTTCTTGACTGAGCAATATTAGTGAGGGTACCCTGTGAGTAGGGTGTGTGTGTTAATGTGTGTGTGCTTATTCTGCACAGCTAATTTTCCACTGTGTCAGGCGATTGATGGTTGCGTGCCCTGCGGGGACGTTGAGGGTCAGAAAACATTAAAATCTGTTTGCATGGTGTTTACAGCCTACAGGAAATGTGAGGATGATACACGCAAAGTATGAGGGCATTTCTTACAGCAGGATTAGCAAGTTTGATGAACTCATATTCCATTTTGTAAATATCAGTTTGAATGTAACATTATTTATTAGTCTTCTTTTACTTTTGTGTGGTGAGTTTGGTCAGTATCAACCCCCCCATGCTTTTTGTGACTTAGCCTTTATTCTGCTCTTGTGTTTGCAACCTTTTCTCTCCCCCTCCACCCTTCAATTGATGCCAGTAATAAATCTCATTTATGGCTTGTGGGTTGATTAGAGTGAGACTGAAAAATGTGGCGTGGAGGAAGGGAATTGGGTCCAGGTGATATGTTTGATTCAGTTCCTGCTTTCTCGGAATCTGGCCTTGGTTAGATAATACTTCATGCATTTTAAATATAGTGTCAATATTTGGCCAGAGGGATAAAAAGAACTGTTGTTGTGGCCACAATTACATGAAAAAAGTCCTTTGTGACAGTTTAAGTTGGTAAATTATTTTAGTATTTAGACCTGGAGAGTCTGTGGATGTGTCTCAGGTCAAATGAGAAAATGCTGAACGTTTTCCCAGCATGCCTTAGTGCTTTGTCTTCTGATTTTCTGGGTATAAATGTGTCATATGCTTTCTGAGAAAAGCAAACAAGGAGCTCGTCTAAAGAAATATGATAACTTAATAGTGTGTGTGACTGAGTACACAGTTTTACATTTTTTTAGTCATCAGATTATATTTGTAACAGAGTTCATGTGATGAGCAGAGTTGAAAAGGAATATATGTCATGTAATATATATACATGACTGGTTATTTATTCTCATCACAGTTGCAAATATAATGCTTTACATTTCTATGTTTTTAATTTGTCTCAGGACACAACATACAAAATAAATATACAGCCCAAAAATGTATACATTTTAAAAATGTTAAAAATCATAAAAAGGCGTATTTAAGAAAGTTGCATTAAATATAATTGTTTACTGGATGCTTTTTGCTTTTTAAGCTGTGGGAAACTCAACATTCAGTTTTAACAAAACCACATTTCCATTTTGCAGTCTACTTTTTTTTTTACTTTTTACACACTTATTACATCTACTACTTCCTGAGCTGTTAATCTGCAATTGGTGGGTAGTTTCATCTTGACTGACTTCATTTACTCAGGACTATTCATTTTATTGTATGAGTGTGGGACATGCAGATGAAATGTTCATAAAGGAAATTTCTGCCTCCTTTGACGATTTCCTCAGCCAGTTTGTTTTCATGCCAAATTGTGACCAGTTTCATCCTGCCTTGTATGTTTGCACAGTTGGCAGACTGTTTGTTTGTCCTACTTACCTTTGTCCATGTGAATCAGGTCTCCACATTTTTCAAATACACTAATGTATAAAAAAGGGATTCTCCGCATCTTTAACATTGGTTTTATACAGGAGGGGAGTTTAAACAATCATTTGTGTTGAGTCAACCAATTGAGATTGCTTCATCTCTTTAACTTCATCTTTCTAACTGTGTTCCTCAGAAAGAGTTACTTGTTACTCATTTATCAAGTGAGTTGTGATGTTTTATATCAGCATAGATAAAACCCATCCTTATTTGGAAAGCTTAGTTCATAACTTAAAGTGTGGTCATACAGCTTTTAAACAAATGCTCTGACATCCCAACCTCACATCTGCAGCAGCTGCCTGTTTAAAAACCTCAGACTGAAGTAACACAGCAGCCCTAAAGTCATCGAGCCACTCTGTCAACATAACTCACAATCGTGTTCATTTACCTAAAATAATTAACCCTAATATGATTTGTTACTCTAATTACATTTATTATCTGGCAAATGGACATTGCCTCGTTCATTTTTGCAAACATCATCTTGTGGTTTGTCTCAGTGTTGACAGGAGGAGTGCAACGTTTGAACTCATTCCTAAAGAAAACATTGGACCTTGTTCACAAGATAAAGAAATGCACTAATTGTTTGAATAATTTGAAATGAGCGTCCGTTTTAACGTCACATAAACCATTCTTTTAATTCAATATTTGCTGGAAAGTGCGACTGTAGGAATGTAAAGGCATAAATTAAACACCTGGTTTCTCAGTTTATAAAATGAATATGGGTGATAAACATTGGTGAATTAGCTGCACAAATCTGGTCAGTTTTCCAGCTCCGTTAGAGTTTGTGCCACATTTACAAATTCAAGAAACATATTAAAGATATGGAACACTGAAAAACCATTAATTATTTCAGATTAATCAGTCACTGAGGGTTTTATGCAAGCTGAACATGAAAATAGTCTCCTACACCTATTTCCTGCATCAGCTTCTGATGGAAAATAGTAGTGATGCACCGATATGAAATGTTTGGGCCCATACCGATATCCATTATTAGGGCTCTATTAATCGAATTTTAATCAGAATTACGATCTGAGTTTGGAACAATTCTAAAAACAAAACAAGCTGATTATTTGCTTCACCCTCTTGCGCTGCTCCAAGTTGCAAAACAAGCACATCTCATACAGTGTTGCTAACTTAGCAACTTGTCAGCATTTCTAACAGCTTTTCAGACCCCCTTCTTGACCTTTTAAATCCTAAAATTGTCTAGTGAACAACCTAGAAACATTTCTGGTAACCCTTAACTACTTTCTGGATAACCTTCGTTATGTTGACAGGGTGGGTCAATGACTTTAGGGCTGCTGTGTTACTTTTAGTTTGAGGTTTTTAAACTGGCAGCTGCTGCAGATTAGGGATGGGTACCTTTGACATTTGAATCGATTCGGTACTAATTCCCGGTACCTAGGAATCGATACCGGTACTTAACGGTACCAATTTTCGATACTTTTGGGTGTTTATTATTTTAATTCTCTTTCATAATAAAATATATATTTTTCTCAATATATAACAATATTTGATAAATATCACGATAAATAACATTCAACTGTTTGTATTTTAACATCGTCCTTGTAGTTTTATAAGTTGATAATTAAACTGAAGCAAACATCTTTACTGTGAACTAAATTTACTGTGTATCTTCATTCCTTTTGCCGTCTTTTTTCATTTGATTTTTCCTACTGGGAAGTTAGAATTTCCGAGGAGAAAGCGAACGCACCATTAGCTGATAATAATGGTAGCAATGGAAGCTAACATATCGAGCTAACGTTATCTTAAACAGTTTATTTAGCTGCTGGAGCAGATTAAAACGATGATGCCTCACACTTAGATCATTGTCGCTGGTTTCGTCTGCACCCAATCACCCGTCGCATTTAGTAAAGTGCAGCCAAACTTTAGAGCGCGTTCATGTTCTTCTAGTCGGAAATTCGGGGTTCCGAGGAGAAAGCGAACGCACCATTAGCGAAACGTAAGCTAACATATCAAGCTAACGTTATCTTAAACATTTTATTTACCTACTGGAGCAGATTAAGATGATGATGTCTCACTTAGATCGTTGTCGCTGGTTTCATCATCACCCAGTTACCCATCACATTTAGTGAAGTGGACCCAAGCTTTAGCGGGCGTTCTTTCTACCATGCTGCCAAGTTTACAACTGGCTCGCAGCGAGCGATGACATAACGCTCTTGCGCATGCACAGCTGTCTTGTCGAGTTCTTGTTATGAAGGACGGGTACTGAAACGAGGCACCGTTTGAAATGACGGGAATCGGTGCTCGGTCGGTACTATAGAGCTCTGGACCCCACGTGTCTCAGTTAGTAGACGCCATATTGGCAGGTAAAAGAATCTAAACAAACACCGATGTAAACATGAACGTGACCGGGATCCGCTTGGATTTTACTTCGTTGGAGTTTACTTCACTCTTTAAAACCGAAGAAATAGTTTCATATAGTCAGAAATTAAATAGACTAAACATCTCCGACCCTTACCGTGACCCTGGGATACTTTTTAAAAACGCCAGAAGCTGTCGGAGCAGACTTCTTACCGGACCT